GGGAAACGATCACAAAGAAATGTTCCTTTGGATAGCCCCCGTCTGAAATATCTCTTGTCTTGTACGCGGCGCAACATCTTCGAACATTATTTTCATCGAACACCTGCTAAAACTTCTTCTCGCGCAGTTGGACGCGACATAAGAAAACAATTTTGGGAATAATCTCCCCGCCATTTATTGCGTAGTCACGCGAGGAAGAAGTTCTTCCGCCAGAAGCGTGATACTTGTTGTTTTGCCTCCTCGTTTTCGTCTTGCGGCATCCGTACTGCATCCGCCAGGTTGAGCATAAAGAAGTCGAACATGCGAGGAGCTTACATATATTCGTGACAATATTCATAACATTCATCTCGATCATCGCGACGGGTCATTATTTCGTTCGCTCCGACTCATTCCGGCGCCTCTATTCTTACTCGTCTTCATTCTCTCGGATTAGTTTGCTTCTTCGTGTTTTCCAACGCACGGCAGTGATACTTAAGAAAGCGATCACGCAAGCAACTTTGTTGTCGGAGTCTTTTTCGCATTAATTAGCCCTTGCAAAATTTCGCGAACCCGTACGATGTTTCGAAGAGAGGTAGAATGTGTAACTCGACGAATGGTGGCCGAGGATCCAGGGTTTATACTTCTGGGAAGATGGTCGTAAAGACTGCTTGACTTCTACTGGCTCTGTTATTAGCCACGTTGTTGCGACTTAAAGTGAGCAAGGCCCCGGGAAGGATACTGACAGGGCCCCGAGGATATAATCGCGCTTTACCTTTCACGCGGTGGAAAGATCCAACTAATCCTTGCTAACTTGCTACTATGAGAGACTATACGCTTTATTTCTATACAAGTGACTCCATTTATTGTTAGAAAATCTATCGACTTTGTTGTCAATGATATCGACGTCATTTTAATTTAAAATTGAACGTAAATAACGCTACCAGCACTTGCGATTTATACAGACTATTTGCCTAAACAATTGCATTCGTTAAGGATAATATAAATTAAGGATAATGAATTAGATATGTGAAACAATAAAACTGAAAGAAGTTAATTTGTAAAGATTGATGTACACAAATCGTATTTTTGAAAAAATGCTTTCGGCAATCGTTTCAATTAGCAATAATTTAATAAAAAACGAAAAGAGAAATCTGCTGTTTCACATGCCTGTAAAATGGAAAACTTGAAGGTGAAAAGTAGCACACGGCCAATGTCTCTCACGCGAGCGAAAAGAGGAAAGGTAGTGCGCGCGAGAGCAATCCCGACGGGACAGAGAAGTTTTACGCGGGGATTATCAGGAAGCGAAGCGAACGCCCATGAATACGGAGATCCTCTAATAAAAGGACGAAAAAAGAGGCGACGGCAGTGGAGCTGAAAGGGGAAAGACGGAACGGCACGCGGGCGGAGAAACAGAGAGAGAAAGAGAGAGAGAGAGAAAAAGAGAAAAAGTGAGAGAGCGAGAGAGAAGGGAAAGAGATAGAAAGAGAGAGAGGCTGGGAAAGAGTTGGTAACCCAGTGCCGCCAGGAGAGTGCCGGAGCAATGTAGTCGACCACGAATGAGCGTAGCAACGGATGGAGAGGCAACACTTTGTAGTTTTAATCGATCCGGTGGGACGGGGGAGAAAGACGAAGCACCCTAGCACGGGGGATGAGTCGGCGGCGTGCGGAGAAGGAGCGAGAGAGATCGTCGGAAGGCGGAAAGAGGACAGACGTGGTTTGCAGGAAGTGGAACGAGTGTCGCCGGTTCACCGACGAGCGAGAGAGTGGAAACGTCTGCGGGGAAAGCGGCAAAGCGGGATAGAAGGAATAGGGCGAGAGAGTAGAGACCCACATCCTGCCGACTCCTACAACTTCAACCACCAGCTGGCTACACTCCTGCCTCCACGGGGACGAGTTATATGTGAAAAGCACGTGGACCTTTGGGAGGAAGAAGGACAGCTGTATTCATTCATTTCCTCGTATATTTCGTGTAAGAGACTTTCCCTTCTTCTATGTCGACGCTCGACGTAACATGCTCGTGGGGAAAAAAAGACGAGCGATACGACGCGTTGAATTTCATTGACTCCGTGATAATGTGACTTTACACTTGTATTAATCAATTTGTTCTTGATCGAGATCTTTTCCAATACATTTCGAAATTGCGAGGAAATTATCATACTCGTCTATACATATATGCTACATCTATTTATGCTATGTCTGCTTTATCTATCTTTAGTCTTAAAATCGTGTTACAATTGTGTTACAATGGCTGCAACGGTATTTTCATCGCCATTAATTTTACGATAATTTTACCAAAATTTGCAAGCAGACATCTATTGCATTATAGTTATAGAAGCACATGAATAACTTACAGAGAAATGAATATGAATATGAATACAGTTACCTGTTTCGATCATATTTAAATTGCAAAATTAATTAAATATCCTTATCACACCACAATGATATATAATTATATATATATATATATATATATATATATATATAGAGAGAGAGAGAGAGAGAGAGAGATTGATAAACATTTTTATTCTAACGGACTTACAATTTATGAATAAATATGATTGGAAATATTACATTAGATTTTTTAACTCTCTGTCACTACTTTTGCTATTGTCTTGTAATCGACAAAAAGACAATTATTATTTTAATTAGTTATTGTATAACACCATATTATATAATTTAATATTATTTTAATTGATTATATAACTTAGTATTATTTTAATCATGATCAAATAATTACATTAAAATTTATAATTGGCCAAATATAACAAAAGTAGCCAAGTATAACAAAAATAGCAGTAAAAGGAATTTCGCGAAAGATTGAACTGGCATTTAAACTAAACTGGCTATCGAATCGCTCGAATCGTGTCTAAGGATCGAATCACGCTGGAATATGGTCGGGGTCGACGTCAGAGGAATTGAGGGGAGAGCATTAAAACACCGAGGGTGCGGACGGTGTCAGTGGCGTCGGCGAGGGCGGCACGTAGGCAGGAAAGGGGTAAAATTCTATCTTAATAAACGCACCCTTCCAGCTCGCACAGCGTGTAACTTCGTACGCCTACAGTTTTGTACGCATCGGAATGGATTTGTAATCGAATCATGTCAGTGATTTCACTCTGATTTGGAATTAAGAACAGAACTAGAAATGAATCAAACGAAATAAATTGTAATTAGCGGAAGTTGTAGAAATTATAATTGTAGTCGTTTCATATATGACTCTTGCTAAGAAACACATATCAATCTTAAAATCTTCTAAAAATATTATATTTTATAATAACAATTATATGATAAAAAGAAACTTAATGAGAATGTGATATTAAATGGTAATTATATTGAAACTTTAAAGAAATATATTCTGCAAATTATCTCTTAAGAAAGAGGTATAATTCATCGAATAAAAAAATACGTTAAATATGTTAAATATATTAAATATATGCACTTTATAAATCTTATTGAGAACAATTTTATGTCGAAAAATTGAAATAAAATATTAAGTAGTTAAAGCATCATTAAAGGTTTATAGCTTGCGGTACCCTTTCTGGTCGCGTCGGAAGGTTGAATGCGCGAAAATGTCGCGTTCCAACGCATGTAATTGTCCATAAAAATTAATGTCCGAATGAATTTAATAATATTAATAAAGATTATCCGATTGATATAAAGTAATTCTGCACGGATAGAGTGAATTGCGCGTAATTACGTGAAACGATTTGAAGTAGAAACAGACCGTCAGTTCAGCCATACGCACTTATCATTTATACGCATTATGCTTCGGTCATGATTCTGTGATCATCCAGCTTGAACAATAATCGAAATGGCATGAAACATCATCATCATCAAAATTATATTAATTTGTATGATAGGCTAAAACATTAACATACTATATCAAGATACTTACATTATTATCATAACGGATGCGTATATCTATTGCGCCCAAGTACCTAAAAAGAAAAAAACCATGAGAAATAAATGAATCGGTTATTTTAATGTATATTTATTAAATATATTTATTAAAATTGCGCAATTCTTTATTCAAAATTAACAGTTCAATTTATTTAATAAAGACTCGCAAATCTACGTCATATGAAATAAGTTATTATCATTAAAAAAATTTTTTTTATTGTAATTATTAACGTTTTAACTCTGATATGTACAAGACATATTCCTAGCTTGTGCTGTTGAGGAGTCATTGATTGAAGATGTTATAATTGATTCTACTGTGTATGTTTTAATTAAAATATTATTTTCGCCAATTTTTATATAAGATTGGCCACTGCCTTTATAATTTATTACAATATATACATATCACAAATTATAAGGAAGTTATAGGTCATTTGCCAATTTTGATTTAATTTCTTCTACGAATAATGTTATGATTGATTAACAAATGTTTACGTACAATTTCTTCCATTTTCACTATGTTAAGCATTATTAATCACAATGAAAAATTACAATTTTCAATCAAAAACGAAACTTGCAGCAAATAACATCGCTGACAATATGTTCTCCAGCGACCTGCAACTTCTTACCGTTCAACTAGTAGACTGGCACTGGTCCTATCTCTTGGTCCCACATCTCTTGGTTCTACCGATCAGTTCTTAAAATCATATCGCTACTTACGTACCGATCATATTCTTTCCTCCCGCGACGGACTCTCCGGGAGTCTCATCCTCGGTACCGATCGCTCCTCCCGGGCATCCCCGCCGGCGAACTCACCAACCCCGTCGGGCTGATTTGCATCACGGTTACGAGCTCGTTCGAGCTCGTGGTGGTTATATTACAGAGGAAGCGGGATGCGAACATGCTGGAAAAACAGAGATAGACAGAGGTACCTCTCGCGAGCGTACCACCCCTAAAGTGCATCGCGGGAGGCAGCTCGGACACTCATAACAATCATAACAACGGGATCTCGCGAGTAACTCGTGGACCACCTCCGCGCAGCGTACCGCCCAACGTACCGCCCCTATTACCCCTTCTATGCTGACTACGTACCAGGCGGGAGAATCGTCACGGCGGGTTGTCTTCCCTCGGTTCTACAGCGGTGCCACTACGCAGCCAGACTGCGGACCGTCAGGGTTCAGGTCCGAGTTTTCGCGGCGAGCTCCAACCGCGCAACGTGCACGACCACGCTGCCAAGCAAGGACAGCACGAGGAAAAGAGTGGATTGCCTGCCTTCTCCGAGACACCCAATCCGCAGCAAGATTTGGATTGTCGCTCGCAGTGTCGATCGTGGAAGGAGGACAAATTTTACTCCGAATTGGAAGAGAAATTGGAGCTAAAAGATAATCGGAGAAGGTCGAGTTGACGCCTACTTCGGAAGCATCGCATTTCGCGACGTGCCGCTAAATAAATAGTGTTTGTGAAATTATCTAGTGATCGAGAAGTTTGAACGTGCAGTTGCGTGCGCCGATTTATCCGGCCTATCAGCACGTGGCCCATAAAGGTGGGATTTTTTCGGTCTGCGCTACGCGGACAGTTGAGCGCAGTGAACTTTGTGACAATTGGCCAGTGAAACGTGTGATTGAAGCATTCCCAGTTAGTTAGTAAACTCAAAGAGTTAACTTTCTTAACAATCGCGTCATTTCATCATCAGCTGTTTCAAATCAGGTGATTGCAACGATTGCTCCGATTTACTCCGCACTTATCAAACATAAATTAGGAGTATATGCAAATGAGTTAAAGTATGCGTTGAATGCATACGGAATAGGTGAATAAAATTAATTGTAAGAAATCCAGGGGAATTTTGACACAAGGAGTTGAGATTAATCTACCAGCTCTGTCAAGACATACGCATTCTTCAGTAACGCGAGTCATTCGCTAGTCAGCGTTGTCACTGAACAAAAGAAAGCGATGAGACAAGAACTCCGACTATAATAAGTTTCTAATTATTGCGACGAGTGTGCTAATAATTACGATACGCGGACGTTCATCGCGTGAACACATCGGTGTTTTTCAACGCGAAATTATATGTTACGGACAATAACTACAGAGTACATGGCTTGACGTGCACAAATAAAATAATTAAAACAACATTACACGTAAAGTGTGCTATTTACCGATTATCTGCGGGGTGACGCAGTGGAACATTGTCGAGCATCAAACCGTAAGTTATTATTCCGAGATACTCCGATCACCTGAAACATCCAGAAACGGCTCGAAGACATCTCGCCTTCCACAACTTGTCATCAATTGTTCAAGCGGATACAAGAGGAGATTGAATCGACCAAAGCAGCATTTTATCAAGTTGTGGACAATTATCTGTTTGCTTCTTAATCGCCCCTAATTAGTCGCAATTATCCGCTAATTAAGTAGGCTGATGTCACTGATGTAAATCGTTCGCCGCCTCTTGCCGCTTCTTACGCTATCACGAACTATTAATATTCGCCTAAGGAAAATTACCGAGAGATCGGCAAGAGAAACTGTAGAAGGAAATCTTTGGAGAGAATTTGAAACGTGCTGTGCCTTGGTATAAGCGTAGTATCGAAGAGGAGGAATAGACATTAGGCTGCCGTTGATCGGTGCAAGATTCCGCGACGGAATTGCACCGTGGCGAAGATAAATAATCGCCGCTAGATAAACCCGCGTCAGGACGACGTCCCAAATACATCAGTCACAGATCGCCTCAGGTGAGTGTCAGAGCGCGAGTTTACCCCCTGCTTATTATAAGTCCGGGTTAATCTCGGTAATTAGATGGGCCTTCTAAATGCGCCCGGTTGATTTTGCACGTGTGTAACCTCGCACTCACACACCGATTAATCGCGCGTACGAATGCGCCTGCGTGCGCATCACATGCAGGAGTTTATATATATGTATACATAGTTTATACATAAGCGCGTTTTATACGATGCCTCGGAAACAGATCAGTAATAGAAATTAATTAATTCTATATTTGACGTATCTCATAACCTTGAAAAATTAAAAAGCAATCGAACAACTTTTTATCAACAATAGAATACTTGTTATCGAAATATATAATGACATCGCTTAGTGGTAATGTTAGATCTAATAATCTTTACGTGTTGAATGAACCGGATAGATTAAGACACGCTTAAAGCAATTATTAGAAGAATGAAGCGGAAACTCAGCCCTGAGATCTATTTATCCGTTTCCACTGTTATGCGCATATTCAGACGGCAATTGCGTGCCTCGTGAGCGATAATCGTTGGCTCGATACCATTTAGTTAATCTCGGTAATTAAGGAAGTTCCTCTCCTAAAGCTGGTCACGCGGGAATTCTGCTCGCGAGGGATCGAAAGCAGCGTTTCTATGCGCTTCACTCCAACTCGGTGATAATTTCATCCAAATACTTAGCTATGTACTAATAATTAGCGCGATAATTATGCACGTCTGCGTATAGTCGTGTCGAGTATGTGACCTGGAAATGCTAATTAAAGGATCGGTCGGACATATAAATGTACCGTTACTCATGGCTCTTAATCTTCATCATTTTTTTCCATCGACTGATGTACGGAGAATCAATATCATGGAGATATTAGATAAGAATGATGGTATATATACATAATAATTATCGTGGCTAACAGAAATGTGATATAATTATCAAGCTATTTCCATTTCTGATGTAATATTCTCATTTATTCTACATTATGCATATACAGTTATTAAGAAAATCATAAATACATTAGAAGTAAAAACTAAATTTATAACTTGAGAGAAATTATAATTTTGAGAAAGATATAATTAAGGTCGGAATTATTTGAGTTATAATTAATTCATTAATTATATTTTAAAAGCCCTATTAAAATGTCATTTCTTTATTTTCCTCAAAAAGTTTATATGGGCAAGATAATATTAAAATTGAGCAAAAATCAAGATAATAATTTGATATATTTATAACACAGTTATCGAGGAAATAATTCACTTTGTATAAATGTCAATTTACATTGTATGTTATGATATAACATAACAAAATATTCTCTCTTCTGTAATAGATAAACATATTTATTTATGTTAAATCTAAAATATGAAAAACTAAATACGTATAAAAGAATATTTATAGAACATTATTTTATATCGTGTCATATCATATTATATATTTAACATGAATCAATATATATACATACTCTAAAACGTATGAGAAAAAGCAAAAATAAAGAAAAAGAGAGAAACAATATTATATTTGTCGACAATTCGAGTACGAAAATGATACGTCTTATATATATATATATATATATATATATATATATATATATATATGTTAAACTAGGTAATCTAAATTTATCGAAAAGATTCTATAATAAAATTCGATAAAGCCGACTTGTTCATTATTCATAAATAATGAAATACTGCAAGTACTAGATATATATTTATAAAATGTTTCCATTATATATATATATATATATATATATATATATATACGTTTGTCCTAATACTTTCCTCTAAAGGAACTTTTATCGAAAATCATTACGGATGTCGTGCAAGCAATAAAGAACATTTTTTAATTTTTTAATGATGCCAAATATGCATATGTATATCGGCAGATATACGATTTGCGATTACACGGCGATGTCGTTGAACGCGTCGCGTCATCTCCCGGACCATATGACCGGAGAGGTAAACAGGAGCACGTGTTGGCGGCGTGACTACGAGTGACGGCATGAACTCTGGGGGTGGAGAGGAGGCAGAGGTAGAGGTAGAGGAAGAGGGGGTGACGATGGTGGACGGGAAGGGTGACGAGGGTGGAAAATCAGTGTGAGCTGCCCGAGGGTAGGAGAGTTCTTTGCTTGCCGCCTCGGGAACACGAAGGGTAGATGAAAGAGAGGGTTGGTGGAGTCAGAAGGGAAGAAGAGCAGTGAATTCTAGCCGCCGAAGGTGGAAGCGAGATGGCCGAAGCTTGGCCGAGCAAAATCGTTGTCGGTGGGAATAGACGCGGAAAGCTGAAAGCAGAAAATCCCAAAGGAAACACTTGACTCGCGATATCGTTGGTGTAGGCGCTTTGGAATCGACACAAAAGAAAACGAGATGTCTCGTGTCGATTAAACGACGCCGAATTTTAATGAAGTTGTTTTGCAAGCATTACATGTTTTGCGCGCTATTTCTCTTCTAATCTCAACATTGAAAAATAGTTGTTTCTAACTTTCATGAAATAATTTGTAAGAAAGCTCACACGTGCTGATCTTTTCTGTTTAATTATACATATATGCATGTGTACACAGGAAAGATCAGCACATGCAAATTTTTTTTGTCACCTATTGATTATATAAAATCGAGAAATCACCGTGTCGAGGTCAAGAAATCGAATCGACGCATCCCCTTTTTATATCTCTTTCTCTCCCTCCTTTTCTCCTTTTTTTCTCCCCTTTCTTTCCCCTTATTCTTACCGCCCTCGCTCCCCCATCCATTGGCTTTTCCATTCAAGGCTTCCTTTCGCCCAGTTTACAGTCCCTACCGACAATCTTCTTCACACGATAACATTTCGTTTTACAACTTACTCACTTTCAACTCGTTTTATAGCCATATTTTGTTTTCCCCTCCGATCGAGAATCTTCATCGATTATCGACTCGGAAATCGCTCCGGGTTAGAAAGTTTTGCTGCAGAAGCTCAGTATGTCAAGTGTGAAGCCTTATACTTACTTGTTGTTTCGTACATTATAATCTAACAATAATGATTATTTTCCGCTTGCATAACAGAAAGTGCACTACAAAATTCCTTCGCGATACAATCCTTTCTCGTTGTCTCTTTATGCATATCACAAAAGACAATTCTTTATTTTTGCGAAACTACTTATCCATGATGAAAGGTACGTTATATAAAAAAAATCTTGATTCCATGTTGTATCGAGTCACTAATTGCGAGAAATACATTAACAAATTCATCAATTTTGTATCGTAAAAAAGATAGGCGAAACCTTTGTTACGCCAAAATTTTTCCCCGACAAATTTATGATTAGCCTTCTACAATATTGTGATAGAAAGCAATGTGTGCGAACTCATTAATTCTAATAATTCATGAAGAAACACGCACGCACGTAATAGCTCGGAGCGGCTTATGATTTGACGGATAGAGAGTTGCCTCAGCACTCGTGTTTTTATTGTATACGCTGGGTAAGCTATATTCTGATATTTTAATAGACCTAATTTGCATGTAAAACCACTTTCAAAATCATTTTGTCTCCGACACGCTGCTAGTGTTCCTTTTCTCAAGAGAAAAACTCGAATACTAACGAATCGAGAAAGCATTAGGTAATTCCTCAAGTAATCATTCATTCACATCATTTTTTTCTCTTTCTCTTTTTATTTAAAAATAATACAATTTCGTTTCTCTCTTTTTTCCATTTTTCTCTACTATGCAAAAATATCATTAGTAACTAATTTGACGTTTAATAACAGAGAATAAACAATTTTTTAGAGATAAGTAATTTATGAATAATGAAGCGATGGGCACTCTGCTGTAAATAATCGAGAGCACTTTTAACAAAACAACTAGTTCACTTATAAAAATGAGAAAAAGGGGTCCAATGAACCGAGCCGCACGTTTTTGGGCCAGATGTTAATTCCGACGACTCAGCGTGAGCCACGAAGGCGGTTTAGTACGTAAATACATCTTCAGCAGGGGGTGCCATTATAATGGGCATGTGCGGTTAAAGTTCTATTTGTGGTAATTCGGAGTTTAATGCACTCGGAGCGTTCTGATTTAGCCAGCGAGCTGACACTTTTTTATTCGGCAAAACCCCAACGACGCTCTGGCGCCGTAAAACATGAAATATTCTTCCTGCGTTTCCCTCTGAAGGACACGTCGCACGAAACTGTTAGAGACGGCATCGTTCTCGCGTTGTGGGTGCCAAGTTTCAGCGAAAAGTGACATTTAAAAAAAAAACGATCGATTTTGCGAGATGCGTTATAAGAAGATAAACGAGTCTCATTTCTTTTGAGAGAAATCGCGGATTAATATAGATATTCGTTGCCGAAATCTTCTCGCATATACAATTTTATTTTGGTACGATGAATTCATTTTTGTACGCGGGATTAGTCTTCGCCTCGATTATCGTCTCGAAAAAGAATTTCGCCGGAATAATGTAAAATATTTGTAACGTCAAACGAGAATCCGATGGGAGCGTAAAATATCGCGTCTTTGGTTAACGCGCGCTGATGCCGAGCCCTTCGGCGCCGATTTATGGGCACTCTCGCGCTCGCGGATGCGCACATTACGCGCTTACATACACGCACACGCACCTACGCCACGCGTACATTCGTAACTGAACCGACGAGACGTTCGCACAGTCGCATTAACGGCCGCGCTGTTCAGTTTAATCCTTGCGTTTCGTGACTCGGGACAAAGCCCCTCGGATTTCTGACAGAATAGTATCGCACGAAACGACCATTACCTTAGCCGATATGCTTATGTACGTATGCGAGTTAAAGGTTGATGCAAATTAACCAACACGGATGCGGCGGGGATTCTTTGTACACTCGCCTTAATTATGCTCGCTCTCGTGCCGGTGAAGCGAAACTGCTATATAGAAGGGTGTAGCATGAGAAGCGGTTTAATCTATTGCGCGCTTATTATATTGCATTTATTGCTCGATCGCAGCAAACCGGCGAGTACCTATAAAATAATCCGAATCGACCGTACACGAGCACGTTCACAAGCGCGCAACGCGTTCCTACTTCTCTTTAGCGTTAATGCCCGGTTAGATGCCACAAAGCCGCGATTATGCCACGCCATTAGGGCGCCCGGTCGATTACGAGATCGTGAAAAAAAATTCGGGTAAGGACAATATCGCGATGGGTGGTTGCCAACTGGTCCCGCTGGGATCGTTTTATTTCCCTGTGTTTTAAATAGGGGGTTACACACACGCGTGTTTCTTTGCCCGCGTCATTCACCCTCTCAATCATATTCAGCAAATACAGATAAAAAATCTGGACTTTTTTTTGCAAATTTCAATAAACCTCATTTGCTATTTCTTGGTCATTTCGGCAGAATTATGATTGCGAGGAATAGTTAGATTCTTGAATAGATACAAAAATGTGATAGATACAAAATCTACTTCTTTTGTCTCATCAGTTCGAGAAAGGAAGCTAAAAATGCAATTTGCTTAGATGAAAAACTCTCGATGAGAGAATCGCTACCGGGAAATCAAACGCGAATATCGTCAATGAGTGCTACGAAGAAATGGTCAGTGGTTTGTTGTATGCGTGGCCATATGGCGATTATCCGTCTGGTTATTTATAGCTTCGGACTTCGGAGCATCGCAATGGAGCACCCCAGACACGCAGAGCTGCGTTCAACGATTCGTACGTTGCCGTCGCGCCGCGCGCGAATTGGACCGAGTCTAGAATTCTAAAACCGCCGTCTTGACGGTCGGGAATCGGCCTCGTAAATCGCGGGGCGCCACGGAGAACCCTAGAGGTGGTTTATACGCACACCTCTATAGCCCCAAGCTCTCTTGTCGTACCAAGAGAGGAGAATGTCGGCGGCTACGTAGAAACTAGCTGCTGGCCAGAGGCGCCCGGTTGTTTCTAAACCCACCTTATCTACTGGGCCCCTATAATAAGCCGCGATCTGAGACCCCGTATATCCCCGTCCGCACACACTCCGAGGAAGCCCGCATGCACACATGCACGCACACACGCATCGTACCGCGCCACACTCGCATCATGCTCTAGGTAGCTACCCGCAATCGTTGGACGCGTATAGTCCACGGAGAGCGCTTGCAATTACAAGCTGGTCAACATATAATTATCCCCAATGACCATAAATTACCAGATTTTTATGCGCAACATTCTTAATTACCCTTTGAATTAACATCAATCAACCCCTTAATTGCACGCTGCCGCTGACGCTGCCTTTACGTCGTCGTTGTCGTCGTCGACGATGTTGGCTATGGAGGAACTATAATGCGAAATGGCGATGCATGCCGGAGGCTAAGAGGAGGACGCGGAAGAGAGACGCGCGGACTGACTGACGTGAGAGAAAGAGACAGCGGGAAAGACACGACTACGACAAAATCGGGTAACCGCGGGTGTCGCTCGAGGACAATCCAGGGAAGATAACTTCCAATCCTCGAGAATATCTCCGTCGCATCGCGTCGTGTCTGACCGAACGACAGCATCACACGTAACGCATCCGTTTTTTTAATTACCCTCACGGGTCCTCGAGTGATTTTCATATCAATCGCCTTGGCGTATTAATCGCGTGTCCTATTATACGGACTTTCACCAGCGGGTTTATCCAACGGGTGATTATTAAGCGGAGACGGAATAATTGCAAGTGAAAGAGGCTTGAAAATTTATACTTTATCGTTTTAGAAAACTCGATCGTACAGGAAAAATCGCAAATTTTTAAGAGAAGTAATTTTTAGATTGAACACGAAACGCTGCTCTCATGAAATGCCCGATTTAATTTCTACATGAAATATTTCTAGAGGAACCCCACGGGCAGCCCCTACTCTTTTCTTGAAAGATTTATACGATCGTGAGGGGCGCATTTTTCAAGGTCGCAGGAGACGCAAAGGTACCAATTTTCAAATGGTCGGCCGTGGTGACGTTTGAACGATCGCGCTATAATCACTCGCGATATCTTCGTCCGGTTAAGAATTCCTCTTCTATTTCACGAATCACGAACGGGGCGATGCGATACGCTAATGAAACCGCACTCTCATTAAAGCATCCAAATCGACGATACTAATTGGCTAGCTTTCGGAATACCCGGCATTAGACCTCAGGACGCGATATAATAATCGCTGCGGACGAATTCGGTTTGGACAGCCGGTGGTTAAAGCGTCTAGTAATTTCACGGGCACAGCCCTACAGCGATTAATATGATTCCGACGGAAATTAATGACTGCAAAAGGAAAAAAGGTAGGTTGCGTATAGTCCTGTTCTGGATGACGCGCTTTTATACGGATAAAATGTTCAGAGATTAAATACTTTGGAATCTTTTGTAGAGAAGGATTTTATTCTTTCATGAAAATCAAATTTTTTAATGCTACAATGTCGATACGTTCGTAATATTATCTTTCTTTTTGAGATATACTACATCTAAGAATAATTTTTGAGACGGCATTGATAATTCACTTTAATCTGTTTATTGCTTCCTTGATACAAAATGGATTAATGTTAATTAATTATAGCTCAATTAACATCTTTTTCGTTGCATATATGCATTACTTCTTATTATATATACATATGTATTAATACTTTGTAGTAATGATCGATGTGATTTCTAGTTATAGTTGCTATATATTCTCAGTCGGCATATTTTGTAATTTTAATTGATATTGAGCAAAAACGGTGTACTTATTAAATATAAGAATTGTATCTTTTAATAGTGAGTCGTTTGATACCATGATATAATTGAGAAAAGTATAAAAGGAACTTTTATATTTATTAAAAAGTTACTGAATTAAAGTTACTCTTCTTTTTGAATGCATACAAATACTAATTTAATTTATATTTATAACTTTGTTTACAAGAAATTGTACATCGTGTAATATAGATAAAAATATAATAACTCACTTCTTCTTAGAAAGATTTTAATCAAAAGAAGATTGTTTTTTCAGAAAATAAATTCAATTTTTTTTATTAAAACGAGAAGTTTAAAAAAGATTTAGTTTATTTTATTGTCAAAAAATTTGCAACATTTTTATTAATCCATGAAATGTTCAAGATCACATATTTACACGACGAGAAGATTCAAAACGTAATAGCGAAATAATGCGAAAACAGGTGGATAATGTCGAGCGAATTTAAAGATAAATCATGTTCATTTTTCTCGCTTTTCGTTTTGCGAGGCATGGTATAAATCACTTTAGGTTCAAAGCCATAGCAATCGGCGGCAGTCTGTGGCCACGTCAGAAGAAGACGCAAGTTCCTCTCAATTTCGTTAAATCATCCCGGTGTCTCGAGAAACTTGTTCGCAATTGTCGTCAAACAAATATGAATATCATGTGACGCGCGCGTATCAAAATGTTCATATTTATAGGAAGCAGGCGACATTAACACCGAAGTTTGTACTTGTGAGCGGTCTATTTGGTACTCAACGACCTAAACGCTTTTATTATAAACACGCCGGCCGTTTTAAAGCACTGCATCAAATATTTTTACGATGGCCATTATAAAACGCCTTTTATGAGGAACAAAGTAGCTCGCAGGCAGAAGGTGTTTTCTCGCCCTTTGACAATAATTTGTCCAGAATAACCGGCTCGTTTCACTCCCGGGCTTCCCCCCTTCCACGCCTGGGCTTCCGCTCGATGATCCATCCAGCCGTTCGTCATAGGCGCGTGGCTTTTAAAAAGTAAAGCGCTGGACTCGGGCCAGCGCAAAAATAGAAGCAGATGTTATTAGTTGCGTTCACCAAGTATACGACGGCCGCCGAGGCGGCGGCGGCGACGATGACGGTGGCAATGGTAGAAGAGGAAAGGGGGTACGCGAAAAGAAAGCGACGAGAGAGCGGCGTGTCCAGACGGTAGTGATTTCATTGCCCTTGAATTCTTACTAACTGAACGCTTAGATAAAAATAATTAGGCGGATAAACGCGGGATGTGTCGGCTGCGGGCGGCGCAGCGCCGTTAGTCGGCGATTTTATTCTGGAACCTCTCTCGGCGCCTCTCTCCTCCCCCCCGCGAACGCGATGCGCCAACCGAACGTTTTTGCTTTGAAGTCGGAAGATGAACGGGCCTGCTTCTCTAATTTCCAGCGTCTGCATTCTTAACAGCTGCACGCGTCGCCGTTCGATACGGCTGATGCGATCCCGCGCGTTGTGCCGGTTTAATTAGCATCTTGTTTACGCTTATCGTCTCATTTCTTGCAACGGTCTCGAAAAATCAAACCTGATGCGTGTTGATGTCGTTTAGGAAGGTTTTGTAGCATACTGTTTATTATTAAGAATGAAGTACATCAAGTACAACCGCGTCTTTGTTTCTTCTACGATCGTGTCGATGTAATTATCGCCGAAATATGTATCATTAATCGATATATCTGGAAATCTTATCGTACTTTTTTTATGGTCAACTTTTTAATTGCTTGGACTTATAAGGTAAAACGCCGATGTTAATCTGAAAATGCGAGATCTTTTTATTTTAGCGCGTCGCGAAATTGTTTCACGCTATTGAATCGAAACGCGAATTATATTCGCGCTATAATGGGATTGCGTCGTGCCAGGGACTATGGCGCGCCCGCTATTAGAACGGTCCTCTGAGAGTTTTGGTCGATTTGCAGATTACGAGTCCCCGGGATGCAAGGCTGACATGGCGGAGGGTTCGGCCGAGGAGGAACAGAGCAGTACCGCTGCGCCCGCTTCCCCGCCAGCTGATCTTCGCACTCTGAACACCCAATTGTCGCCGCCTTATCACCACCAGCCCCATCTCCAGCCTCGTCTTCAGCATCTGCAGCATTCCAACATGCTGGCGACCGCCGTACCGCCCCGGCACAGCCACAGTATGCTGTCTCATCAGGTGAAAGCGGAGGCAGACCTGGACGGCCCCTGCGATGTGCCATTGAATCTCAAGAGCGAGGTAAGCACAGAAATCTCTCCCATCGATTATTGATGTTGGAAATCGATTAACTGCTTTCGATTGTTCACTTGGAACGAGTTTTGTTCGCCGGTGGTTATGCGGCCCGGCGGCGATGCCGAATGGAAATCGCAGCACGTTGCACGATAAGAATCGAGCGATCGCTCTTACAAAAACAAGCGCATTTCAGTTTAATGTAGCAAGTGTATGATTAATTGATGAGTGAATTACTGACTAAGATATTGTCATATTACAATGATACGATGGTCTATTTATGCTAGTTAAACAGTCTTAAGCGATCGTTCGACTTGTGCTTCCGCTGAAGTGATCGAGACATTATGATGGTCTATAAGTGCGCACGACAAGAGAGACGTCGCACTCGTTACTAACGGTTTTGTATGTCAATGACAACCAATTGTACGGTTAAGTAGCCGCCACGCCGCATCTCAACCTAAATCGGCCACTGGTCCCTTTGACCTGCATGCGATTAATGTACGAAACAAAGCATACTAAATGACTTCCACGAAAATGACGTGGTTAATATATATAGCCTTGCTAGCCTAGCTAGAGATATATTTTCTAAATCGAAGAGACAGAAGACGAAATTTTTTCTTCGCGAAAATTCGAACTCGTAATGCGTAAATTTCAAACGATTAAAAATTACAAAATCAACAATTTAGATCGCGAAATTATTAATGTTAAATATATATACGTATAGATTGATGAATATTAATTGTAATTCCAATCGAGTTACATAATGCAATGCAATAGATAGTGCATGAAATAGATTGATGAAATAAGATAATAATTATCATCGATTCATTTTTCAGTAAAATCCATTCAATTATGTAATTTTACATTTAATTGTTAGCGTAATTTAAAAATGATTTTTTAATATTAGTCGTAAGAATAAATTATCTTTTAAATATAATATTACACTAATATTACATATACGTATATTATTAACATTATGTGAATTGAAGTAAGAATTAAAAGAGATTTTTCTTTCCTAGCGCTAATTTTGCAGTCAAGTTGAGCTAAAATTTATAGATGAAATTAATAAATCTATCGTAAACCATTTTCCTTATAGTAAAATTAGTTGTTAGCAATAGAAGGTACGGTAATAAAAGTCGCGCATTAGTACGAGACTGTAGAGTATCAAGAGAATCCTGACTTCTACGATCATAAAGTGGAAAATATTTGCACGTAGCTTATATGTACTCGCTTCGATGAACGACGAGCAGTTTTGTCGATGCTTGCACATCAGACTAACCGGTGAGGGAACTTTAGCAAACAAGCGTCTGGAGAAATTATCAGTCGTCAAATGTGTCTATTTTTCGTCGGAATAATTAATAATTATCGCGTTTATCAACACGATACAAATCACTGCAAAATTGTCTCTCGTTAGTTTTAAGAAAACGGCGTCTAATTTTACATAAACATTTTTTTTTTTTTTCGTTAACGAAGACATACGTAAAAATATCACAGCTAATAAAAATGACATAAGTAAGTTTACACACATTTAAGCTAACAATCTGTAATGTCATGCATAAATCGCTTGGTTGATAATAATATAATTTAAGTCACAATGCTGATCCATCACTTTAGTATCTTAATTGCCAAAAGACAAGCCACGTGATATTCGCCACATAAAGAATTAAACGCTCTACGTCTAAGAGTTCGACAATGATGCCAATTAAGCGACAAAAGAGAACAACCACGACGCTTAGACGCGACAACAGCTCGGGACTAGAGACTCTCGAAAACGGCAGTCTCATCCGTTAGCTCGTCGTCCCTGTCCATCCATTACACTATTATCCCCTCGGCAAACACGGGGATCTACGCCGGACTCCACGCATGGACTTAATGCTGGGCGCGCATCCGAGAAGGGAGCGCGCAATTTACGCGCAAAAAGAACGAGGATGTTACATTTCGCGACCGATAAAAAGAAACAATTTCGCCGGTGTACGTACGCAGCAAAAAAAAAAGGTGGATAATAATGTCGTCCACCCCCTTTTGGCTGGCAACGATGAGAAAAAATCTTGATGGCGCGATCGATCATAGTGACGCGCTTTCGCATACGTAATTCCTTGGCGATTATCATCGGGACGCAGTCAATTTTCTGGATCGGGAACGAGAATAAATCTCGAATGCTTTTGTGCAATCGCGCGGATCGATGCGCGGAGATGCACGCGCGCGCGGGGGGGTTATCAACGGAATAATTTATCCGCGATTTCTCATCGGAGCGGAGCAGTTCACTCGCGTGAAGTTTCACAGTCGTTCGAACTTCTCTTTGTTCGACAATCATAAATTATTGAATCTTTGAACACGGTATTCTTAACGATCCCCTCAATGCCATTAGCCGTACCTCTTAATTGCGGAATATCTCTCTTTCTCCGGAGAATAATGGATATTCAACGACGCTAAAATAAGTATAAAGATGTAAAGGAGCAAATCTTCAAGGTTCCGCGAGACACACAAGGTCACTCGCGAGATTAAATCGAGTCTTTGGTTAAAAGGAACGTAAAGAATCGTGCGCGATTACATTCCCGCGGCGGAAGTTAACATCAAATTACTGACAGAAATGAATAATCTAGGATGATTTCGAAAGTAATAATGTAAGAAGATCTCACGATGTGCTGGAATAGCGCGAGTTTGAAACGGATCGAGTACTCTTCGCATTCGCAAAGACCGCAGTAATGTGCATCTATATGCAAATATTCGCGTATCTCACGAACACATTTGGGTCCGGAAATCGTTGAACGTTCAACGGATGCATCGTCACGAATATTCCTCCACTCGCGGCCCCGAAGATTTCACCGGTCACACGAGAGAAGCCGCCAAACCATCTGGAGCTTTGCCACAGAAGCAGCGTCCCTCTATCTAGACCGTCTCGGACCCGAAGACGCAAATTTCACGTAGCTGAATCCGGCGTTGACCGTCCGATGGATCGATACGCCATAACCAGCCTTAAGGCGCATTCCAATTTGATGGCCAGCAGTCCCGGCCGTAAATGCATCTGTCAAGAAAGTGATTGAAGGCAAACGATACAGAGGAGTTGCGAAAGCCTACTGGATCGGATCTCATTAGCTCGGTTGTTCATTCCAACGACTCAAATACGTTTCGATCGGATTTCACAATTATTATTGTCGAATGATTATTGTCGAATCAGATCCGCATGCGTGGCCTGGTCTGCGGTCACTAGTTAGAATTCGGCGAGAAATCTCGCAGCAACAGTCAGCGGGTCTTGACGGCCGCCGAGATGCCTTGAGATTTGATCGACCGTAAAAAATTCAATTATCGAACCGTATTATGGCTTTGTTTACATTTGATATAATGATATATTTGCCGGTATTAATGATATATGTAATAGCATATGTATAGCAGCAATTATCACGACGTAGAAATCAATCGACGGTTTTTTAGTAACTCGTCGTTCATATTGCAATTATAAATTAATGCGCTCAATCAAAGACAATTTTAAGAACGAGGAAAATGACAGTTGCATGTTGATCGAAAAATCCACGGTTTTATGACGCATGATAATACGTGGCAGTTGCAAAAGATTTAGCTAATAAAAACGTACGTTTGACGAGCGACCGTCCGTAAAGCAACGCGGTCAGAACGACGAACGTGGAAATGGGTGGCAAAGGGAAGAATAAAAAAAGGAAAAAAAAAAGGAAAAAAGTGGAAGAAGTAAAAAGAATAAAACGTCGAGATATATATTCTATCGATGTGGGGCTCGTCTATTTCTCTCACATGGTATTCGCGGAGTGATGGAATGTTTATCAATAGATTAATCTCGGAGATCGGCGGGTGGTTCCGCGTCGTCGTCGGGCAGGTTCCTCGATTGCGATTAAACATAAAAGTATTATTTCAATCTGGCCCCTCCGCGCGCGTCGGCCGTACATTCCCTCGAATATGTATACGTCACCCCCATCGGCACATACGTACACGACACATACATACGCGTCCACACATGCGCGCGCGTACCTATTCGCGCGACCGATAGATCGGGCATTTTTCCATTAGATTGGAACTTGATTAAATTGAAAATCTGTCAATTTAGGAAAAAGCATCCGACAGCTTATATTGACGGTGGACATTATACGCGGTGGCCAACGAGGCAGAACTCGTTGGCCTGACAACTAGCGGAGATATAAAACCCATCGTCGCGACGATGGACCCGGGATGCACGCCGGGCTGTTTACTTTTTGCTTCCTTTTGCGCCCTTGTAAAATTAATTGCCGGACGCTCTTTGAGGGTGACGCTCGCTTTCGCCATTCTACCGATCGCGGAAATTTGCTCACGGTGTCATTCGTTCAATCTCCACCCTGATATGATTCCGACGCAGCACCCTCTGGTGTTTCCCGCCCTTCTCGCGCCTGTTTCGCTCCCTTCGCGAGATAGTCGTCGTTGACGAGGTTTTGTAACGAATGCGTTTATCACGTACACTTTTAAAGGAATGATGTGGTTTTGACGGATTTAATTCGCTCGCGAATTTGCCGTCCTCGGGCAGGCGATCAAACGAAACCGCCGGACGGCCGAGTATATCCGGCAATGAAGAAGAAAAGGCATTCCTTCGTGGTCATTTAACGCGCGTTACATGTAACGCGATCAACATGCCTGATCACGGATACGCTTGAAACGTAAGTTACATTCACGACTCGACCAATATTAATTCTATCGCTTCACCAAAATCTAAAAATTTATTCTAATATGTGTGTATATATATATATATATATATATATATATATATATATATATATATTGATTAGAATCCGTTTTTTCGATGTAGCTGGACTATGTTCAGCGCACAAATTTAATTTATTCTGATCGTTAGAATCTTCGAATACACATGATGAATACATGATCTTGTTCGATTTGCGGCAAATAGGTTAATTAAGGATGTTTTGTATGTACAATCCTAGCAAAAAGTAACTGAAAATCAATATATCATAAATCAATAAATCAATATCATATTGAATATCCACTTTTGGTGT